ATAATGGAGAACCGCAGTTGGTGGTTTTACTCTTCCAAAGGAAACAGAGATCAGAGTCCAGCCCCGATCTCATTTGCAGTCAGCAACCAAACCTCATTAATGGAACAGCTTTAAAATCATACCACAGAGATAAAACACACTCACCACAGGGAAAAAAATGTCCAGGTTATAAGTACAGTTTACAGTGAAGGGCAGTTCAGGGTTACAATATACATTGGGCTGGGCCCTCCAGATGTGCTTGGACTACAACACCTGTCATGCTCACAGGACTGAGAGTTTTGAATGCTGTAATCTTCACCATGTCTAGACTCAGGACCCACCCTTAACCCCAGCCTGATACATGGGACCCAGTTTTCAATTTTTTTTTTTAATATAAATTAGAAACCTACTCCTCTTTTGGAGTATATTCACATTGCAGACATACTGCTTTAAGAACTGTAGCTTATGTTGGGCGGGTAGAGTTACCCAGTAAAGAAGAATAAAGTAGTAGAATTGTAAGTTTGCAGTGGACACACCCATACCTTTACTCTCTTCCCCCCACCCTCCCAACACCTCTTCGTCATCCAGTATTTTTATTTGTCTCCTTCATGAACAGCATCACACTTCTGTCATCTTGTTACTTTGGGGGAGTCTCTTGTTGAAAACCAAAATTCTAGAGCAGTCTCCCACCATAAATTGGAGCAGTGTTTCTCAACCTCAGCAACTTTAAGATGCATGGACTTCAACTCTTCTCAACCTCAGCAACTTTAAGATGCATGGACTTCAACTCTTCTCAACCTCAGCAACTTTAAGATGCATGGACTTCAACTCTTCTCAACCTCAGCAACTTTAAGATGCATGGACTTCAACTCTTCTCAACCTCAGCAACTTTAAGATGCATGGACTTCAACTCCCAGAATTCCCCAGCGAGCATGCTGGCTGGGGAATTCTGGGTGTTGTAGTCCATGCATCTTAAAGTTGCTGAGGTTGAGAAACACTGATCTGGAGCAATAACTGGTTGTACATTGTGATTATCTGATGGAACATTCTTCAGCTAAGCTCCTGTTTGTAGTTGGCTAAAGTTGGGAGATACCTCCACCCATAATAAATCTAAGTCCTGAGCTGAAGACCAACATTAATTTATGGGACCTTAGCTTCTGTTGTAACATTCTGTACTTTACTTCCTGAAAAACCCAACCGTTCCACCCTAATACATTAAAACTCTTCTTATACCTCACATGGAGAACCCCAAATGATGGAGAACCTCCATTTCCTTAAGTTTCTGATATCTCCTGCCCAAACTTACATTCTTCAGCTAAGAATCACCAGTACCACAATATTCACTTCCGGTCTTGAAACTGCTTGCTGGGACATGCGACCCAGTAGAGCAAAATTAGAGAAAGCACGTTTCCCACCACAAAGCCAAGACCACTTTCTAAGGAAGGACAGGTGCTGCAAAAGCATGGTCACAGCCTTAAACAATCTTTCCTGCTCCATCGCCACTCACCTGTCTCATTTGCAAAAGAGCAGAGAATAATCAAATACGTCCGGTGTTATACTAGAGGATAGGGGGTAAGTAAGTGAGATCTACTGCAAAGGTGTTTAGCTCTTTATGATCAGAGGGAAGTATCTGGCTTTTTAAGGGGCAGACGCTCCCAAAACCAGACAAAAACAACACTGAATTTTAAATGAAACAGAGTTTGCATGATTGCTCTCCATGAAATTAATTATTTCTTCCCCCTCCTTTATATTAAAAATGACAATTCAGTGGCAACATTTGGAGAAGCTCATGAGGCTGCAGCCATAGCTTCTGGGAGCTTCACAGGTGATGCATACTTTATCTTGTAGCAATGTCAGGACTGTACTAAGCACCCTTATTCCCCCATAATACTGACATATTTAAATCTTGTCCCCTTTATGCAGAGGGACAGGAGGTGATAACACTCACTCTGGCAAGGAAAACAACTTTTCTTTTTTGTAGCAGGTAAATACTTAAGGTAAGGCCATATACATTACAGTTCTATATACCTTTTCCATCATGATAAATGAATCAGGAATAAGAACCCAAAGCAGAAACACGGTGGAATCGAGAACATATAGACTAGATCCATCTGTAAGCAGTCCCCTAAGGAGCCAATACAAAGTTGTTTTCTATTTCCTGAAACAGCTTGCCAAGGCAAGGTGGATCCTGGTGACCGGCAGTCAGATCTCAGACTTGGAACAGGAGTGTGGATAAAGACTATGGGGAGAACAGAGGGGGAATGTAACGGGGAGGCATTATCCTTATATAAGCATTCTTACATTTAGCACAAACAAATACATCTACAGCTGTACCACCACCTCTGCATATATACAGAGAACGGGCAGATTTGTTTCCCAACTGTTTACCATTAACCTTCCAAAAATGAGTTATCCCCTATTTGACAATGTTCCCGCAGGCCAATTTAGGGAAGCCAAGAAAGTTGTAACAGAATCCCATTTTAAAAAGAACACAAAAGAAATATCTGATGGGCAAAAGGACAAGTTATTCATTTGGTGGATCAGGATCTGGGATTACAGAAGGGTTGTTCAAAAATACGTTGGCCAGTGAAAATCCCTCTCCAGTTATTGCCACTTCTAGCCCACTGAATTGTATTCAGCTTAAAAGCACCTTATTTAAAAGGGGATCCAGTTCATGTCAGATAGAGATGCCGTCTACGGATGCAACCCTGCCTTACCGCCCGACCCCGTCACAGCTTTAATGAAGAAAAAAAACTGATGCATATTTTTTCCACATGAGCATTCCAAGTTTTGTCCTTCATAAATAAATCCATTTAAAAAGTGACTAGCCAAAAGAGAAAAATAACGTGGGAATTGTTCCAGCTACCATGTCCGTTGAAAATTTTGTCCTTTTTTGTACATGAATGGATTGCCAAAAACAGATTCCTCTTTTATACAGGATGCAAAAAACATTGAGGTGGGCCACTGGGAGAAAATTCTGTCCCTTTTCATAGGCAACTAGGTGTGTGGATATTCGCAGCTCGCTCAACAGTCTCTTCAAATTATGAACCAAACATCTTTTCTTCATTCTTCCTGCCATCTCCTTTTCACTGGCTTCAAGAAAACGTGAAGAAGTTCTTGTTTTCCTTCTAACCATGTTCTTGTCTTAACACAAAATCATCTCTTAAGAAGAAATCTCACAACAGAGACAATACTGCTTTGGATATACAGATCTATAGGTGTAAGAGAAAGAACTGATCAGTGAATTAATTTTGAAATGGAAGCTGTTGGGCTAGCCTGTGTTCATCAGTTGAAAAGAGATTGGTGGACAGATAAAGACTTCATACCTTTGAATGTCATAATAGCATACAGGTTGATAGAAGAGACTGGCTACATAATTGGAGATTATTAGACAGATTTTCCAACACTGTATCATTCTCTCTTTGTCCTTTCTTCCAACAATGTGCCTCTTGGTTAAGACTGTGTCCTCACATCCTCTCAGTCTGTTTGCTTAGGTGGCCTTTCCTCAAAGCATATTCCAAGTTCATAGAGAGAAACTAACAGTGGATTAGAGAGCTGGAATTCAAGACGGTTAAGTAAAAATGATAAACATAAGAGCAGTTGATGGACAGAAAGTTTCGTAACAGACTCAGTGGTATGTCACTTTGATTCCAGACAGAGGAGATGGGCTGAAGCCAAGACGTATTTTTCCAGTACAAAGAAGTTGCACTGTCCCAGGCCTTGGAAGGAATATAAGTCATTGAGAAGTGGAGAGAGACAAGGATTAGAAGCACCTTCTGGAACCTATTTTTCAAAAGTAGCATCACGGAACATGCCATAAGATTCTGATTGGCGTTTTCCTGTGTAAACACAACAATAAGAAATCTGAAGGTAAAAGGCTTCTCTATAGGGATAAGTTGGTGGATTAGTTAATAGTCATTTGCTGGCCATATTTGGCCAAAGGGCTGCCAACTGCTGACTACTGCAGTAGAGGCTGAAAAACTCTGCAAGAGAAGGCTAGCAGAAATTTTAGGGGTGGGGAAAAGAAAAGAAAGGGCAAAGCCAGGATGTTCCTCTTCCTATAACCCAATCTCTTCATCCTGTTCATCTTCAAAACTGTAGCTCTGCCCTTCCTCCTCCTCTTCTTCTTCTTCCTCTTCTTTTTCATCCCCCTGCTGGGGGCACCCTAGTGGGCTTGGGCTCTCACCCCTCAATGCTTCCTGCTCCTGCCCTTTAATACTGTCCCAGTCTTTATCCATCACTCCAAGCACATCCTCCAAGATGGAAGGTCCCAAGTCCAGCTGGAAAGAGAGAAGGGATTCAGCATGTTCCAGCGTGGAACTCTCCAAGGAGAACTTCTGTTGCAGGTCCCAACCTTCTCCATTAGGGGGCTTTTGTGGCTTCCAGTCAGCCTTCTCTGGGCTCTGCAGTACCACAAAGCTGCCATCAGGGGTCGATGTTGCCGGACTCTGGACTATGCCATTCCCGCTACCAGGAGGAGACAGCAGTTCAAAGCAACCAGAAACATCTCCAGGAGAACAAAGGGACCCAGGAGACACTGCCACATCATGAGGCAACCCATTGGTCTTGGAGCCCCCGTGGTTGCTGAGGAAAGACGTATCGCCAAAAGCATCACCCCCACGGCCAATGTGCATCGTATGTCGAAAGTCCCCCAAAGGGGCACTAATCATGGCTCGATCCAGACGGGGCCTCTTCTTGGAATGAGAAACTGGGGACTGCTTGAGGATGGGCATCTGAAAAAAGAGAGAAAAGATGAGGATCCAAAGTGTTCCCAATGGAACCAGCACAGCCTCCAAGTTCAATTACTGTACTTTCCTAAAGACCCAGATTTGAGTCTCACTACAAAGTCTGACACAAAATCACCCACCAACACCCATGCGCAGCCTAGGTCCCACCTTTGTGAGACCCATGGGAACAAAATGCTGTAGTGAGGATAAATAGGAGGCTGCATATCCCATTGCAAGTTAGGAGTCTGAAGCATGAAACCAAAGTATGAGCTATTTGAATTAAGTCTATTATTTTTGGCCTAAATGAACATAATGCATTTTTAATCACACCACATGTTACTTTACCAATGGCAGGATGTTTGCTTTTATTGCTAATGTCACTTTGGGATAGCCCTCCATTGTAGCAGTCCTTGTCTCCACAGATTTTGCATTTCCCTCAACCTCATACCTACTGTCCCCCCTTTCTAGCCAACTATGAGTTTATCAGGCACATGACTCACCATGAAATCTTCTGCCATAATAAATTTGTTCATCTTGAAGACAGCCAAGAGCCTGTTGTGGCTTTCCTCTAAGAGATTTAGCCCAGGAACCAATGATATAAAAGAATAGTAATTTCAGAAGACAGCCTTCAAAGACAGCTACCCTGTTTGAATCTATTTCCTTCCAAGTTGCTGAGTATTGTGAACATGGAGTTATCCTATTTTAGCTCCTCTGGGGTAGAGTAAATAGGCCAAAGAGAGAATCACTTACTCCAAGGCTCTTAGTTTGGCTCATCCTACCAAACTCACATACGATGTACCAAAACTCACAAGATTGATGCAAGATCCATGCAGGGGACAATCTAGCCTTCCCCTCCTTTCAGTCTGAGGGGGTGAAGATTTTAGATTTTGCAGCAGCCAGAGCCTGAGATAAGTGAAAGAGTTACAGGAATACCTGCTCTGTCCTGACCCAGCTCAGGATATTTTTCACCCACTGACCGCCCACATAACAACTTGTCCAACCAGTTCTTTGAATGAGGAACACTTAGGCTGCTCTGGGACACTCAAGTTCCTTAAGAAGAGGAGCAAGATCTGGAGGATGGAAGATGAACCTAAGAAGAACTATTGGGGGAGACCAGAACTGGAAATCTTTGGTTACTTCTGCAACAGAAGCAGGGTTTAGCTGTATTCATGGCAGAATATAATATATTCAGGATGTCACAGGTCTTCCATAGGATCTATGCCTGAATTTACACAAGACACTAAGACATTATTTACTTAATTATGGTTTATTAAACAACTCACAATTTCCCAGTTCAAACTCCCCAACCCATGGTTAGGAAACAAAAATAGCTGGATTCACTCAGCACACTAAGTTACAACGGTGTATCTTGTTATATGAATCCAAACCAAGTTTGTCCATGGGTAATTGGAATGGATGCATTATCCAAGAAACAGGGAGTTCCTTTCTACACAATGCTGTGAACACTTCCAGTAATCAAATCCTAAATATTGTTAGATAATTTGGTATGGAATTTGAGGTGTGGAATGGCTCTTAAAACGGGAATGAGTTTTCCTTCCCTTGACTCAAATACAGAAAACTAGACTGCAAAGAAGTCCTCCCTTCTCCAATTTTTGGGATGCCTGCCCCCAAGTCTTATCCTGATGGCACTGCTGGCCATCCTACGCACAAGGTGGACTAGGCCTACAGACACTGGAGTTTCCCGTCTCTCCTTGTACCTGCCCAACATTGCAGTGTTCTCGTCTGAGGTGTGATGATCTAATAGTGAGAGATGATTCATGTTGAATGGGAACAATGGAGCTGCACTGGGGGTGGAAGGGAGACACCGTCTGGGCAAGTGCTAGAGGGGGGGAGGCAGAGGAGAGGGGAGGAGGCGCAGGCAAAGCTTCTCCTTCCCTCCTGAGATCAGAAAGTGCTGACAGAAGTGGAAACAGCCTAAGAGTTGAGTCAGCTGTGGGTGGTAAATAGACCCAGCATACAGTATCAGGAGGCAGAGAAAGAACCCAGGAGTCCTGATTCCTAGCATCTTCTCTCTCACATTTCTAAGCATTGCTCCCTTTCCTCGAAATCCAGGAAGAAAAGTTAGCTACTAATCTCCCACTTCTATGAACCACTTTGATGCCAATGCCAGTTCCAGGAATTGGTGGAGGAAGGATGAGGGCCTTTTCCTTGGTGGTTGAGAAGGGATGAGGAATAAAGGACATTATTCCTTTTTATGGAAGCAAGTATTAGAAACACACAAGGAAAAAACCAGTAGTCCAACAGTCTCCAGAGGTGGTGGGAAGGACAATCCCCCCCACTTCAAGAGTGTCATTTCCTCATGGGTAGTCTGTTTAGGACTGTGCCCTAGGTGTCCATGGGATCCACCACTTTTGCAAAATGACAACACCAGCATTCCAGCATCACCCCGCAAGCTCCTCCCCTTTTACACGCATGAGCGTGGTCATGACGCACATATAAAGGGAGAGCTTGCATTGCATCAGCACAACACTGCTTTTGGCTGTTCTACCAAACAGTTCTACCCATTAGTGGATGCCGCTGTTTGGTAGAAATAAAGCCAATTATTTATTAATCAATCAATCAATCAATCAATCATCAATCAATCCCCAATTCCCCTGATTCAGTTCCAAAAAGGTATTTCAGAACATGCAGGGACGCAAACATCTCACCTGTCCAAAGCACCAACATTTTTGCTCAAGATTGCAGTGTAGCTATGGAGGGCAGCTACACAAAAGATGCAGCTGCTTTAAAGAACTTTTTGGAACTAAATCCAAAGTGTGCACAGCCTGAAGACCTGAGACACAACCTGCAGTGATCTGAAAACTCTCAGATCTGTCTGAATGGAAGACCTCATCAACCCTTCCACAAAAAGTACCATCATCCTCTCTTCCTTGGTTCATGCCCTGCTATTCTTCCTTTCTCCCATCCATCACTTCCTTTGTAGAGTCCTTGAAACAGAAAACTGGTTTCATTGCCAGTATTATTCTTGAAGGCATCATAGACTTCTACAAATATTATTAGAGCTCTTCCACAATGGAGCAAGCCAGCATTAATAGGGCTGTCAAGTAGTCTCCTATGCAGGCCAAGGAAGAGATCCAAGCTTGCTTGATTTCTATTGAATACATGGTACAGGGACAACTTATCCCATGATGATGCTTGTTTGGAAGGGGGTTCTTAAGTACAATCCTTTTAATGTCAGATTCCTTGACTAATATTTTAGGGGACAGTTGGCCACAAAGTGGCATAATTGCCCACTTATGGCGAGCCTGAACCATCAATAGTGCTACATCTTACTGATGGAAGGAGCAAAAATGGAGAAGGAGAGGGAGCCAGGCATGAGTTTCTCTTCTGAGATGAAGTTTAAATCAAAATGTCAAAAGGGCTACGGAAGGCTTTCTACTTCTTAAAGACAAAAATGAATTAACTGATTTTTGATGGGAAAGTGCTCCACTTTTGGGACTATGTAAGGGGGAAGGGAGACAGATTCAAGGCCCAGGCATTTACAAAGCAGTTGGAGGGTGGGGTGGGGGGACTATCTTGAAGAAGCCTTATGCATGAATTTGTGGGAAGCATCACATTCACATACCTCAGGATAGACAATTGCCTTTGAGAATGGATTGCCCTAAGCTATTCATCTGATCACACAAGACTTTTATCAAATAAATGTATTTTCCATCAGGGCCTTTTGCTTGAAGCACTAAATGACCACTTGAGGGCTGCATGGAGACAAGGACTGCAAAGCTTGTGGACTAGACACTTCCATTTTGTGTGGTTTTAAAAATGCTTTTCAGCAGAATCCCAGCCTTCAGTATTGGCACCTTGTCTGTAGACCACAAAAACACATCAAGAGTGCAAGCAAAAATGTGAGACAGGGAACAGCTGAGAATCAGAACCACTGGATCTGACATGATCTTGGCGTGGTTCCAGGCAGGCTTACTCTAAGCCTCTTGGGAAAATATATCTATTCCTTTTCCCTCCATCCTTCCCCTCTCTGCGGATGACAGATATGGTTACTAGCCCCAGAGGACAATGACGGAATTTCCTTCAAAAATTGACACAAAGTCTTTGGAAATGCTCATGTACAGCTGGGATTAAGGAAACAGTTGGGCACTAGGCAGGGGTGGGGTCCAGTGGAACTCTCTAGCTTTGCTTGCAATGGAGCAGAAACACTGAGCCTGTGTGGAGAAGGGGCCCGTATGCCTGGTTTCTCTGGAAAAGGAGCTAAAACTAGCAAGCAGGAGGTGGAGAAAGAGTTGGAAGCATGCATCCTGGGGCACTACAGAAAGAATGAGATCTGATGGGCTACTGGGGCAAAAAACAGAGTTGGGATTTCAAAGTATGGGTTGGTTGACCAGGAGAAAAATCTGAGGAGCTACAGCAGAAAGGAGCTGGTAGGGAGCTAGAAGGAAAGAGAGGAAGTTTTATAGCAAGCGTCTTCCAAGAGCGAGGTTCTGCAAGAGGAGAACCTAAAAACATTCTGGGGGAAGCTGGAAGGTGGTTGAGCTGAAAATGTTGATATACCAGGAAAAATATCTCAAGAAGTCCAGGCAGAGATCTGTGGCTGGGGAGTTACTTGGTTTAGCCACAGCCCCCACTCTGGGTCTTGTTTTCAACCTGGCTGCTGTTTGATTTATGGCCACTCTCTTATTCCTCCCCTTCCAGACACATGCACACAGAGAAGACTTTGTGCTACCACACTCCTGCCCCAAGTTTCTTTTTAATCCTTGTGAAAAATTAAAGGTCACCTCATCCCATGCACTCACCTCCATTAGAGAAGAGGGTTATCCAGAAAAGACAGTCCTTCCCCAGGGCTTAGGTTGGCCATCTTGTTAGGGCTATCTCCTCTCCAGGAGAACTCAGAAGCCCACTTTGCTTTCTTTTTCTGCTCTCTGGACTCCTGAGACTCATTCTGAAACCACGATCCTTTGCTAGAGAAGCTGGAACCCTAGTTTTCAGCCCACCAGCTATCTGGGCTAAATCTCAGTTAGTAGGGAACCTACGAGCCCCAATTCCTGGCTGACCTCATTCCTGTTTTACTACTGCCTAAGCTACAGTCACAGTCCCCCCTGCCCCCATCCTGCCTGCCGCAACCCCGACTCCCTGAAGCCAGGAGAGATGTCAGATGATTCAACACACGTCTTTCTCCCGCTGCCCAGTCAGAGCTCCCGGGCGCCAAAAGCAAAGAGGAAAAGAGTGTTGTTAAGTTAGCAAACTCACCTTTGCTCAGAAGAAGACTCCAACTGCCTTTTCCCACACCTCAAGTGACTCACAGGAACGTCCCGTCTCCCTTCCTGCTTTTGTAGTCGCCCCAATCCGCTGCCTCCGCCAAGGGGCAGTGCCAAAGCAATCCAAGCCACAAAAAACTCTATATCCTCCCAGCGTTCGGAGTTGGATCCTGTTCCACTTTTGTCCAGCAACGTCCGGGAAGTTTGCTTAGAGTTCTCAGAAATCCCCAGAAAATTTCTTTTTTTTCCCTTTCATTTGTCCACCTCTCGTGCTCTCCTTCTTTTCCTCCCAGCTTCTTCTTCACCAGCTTTCACTCCACCCCTCTTGGGTGGTGGCCCAGAATGTTATTTATTTATACCTGAACAAAAAAGAAGAAATCGTGGATGTCACAAACACCAGCAAAGTCCAAACTGCGCCACAGAGGATACGAGCCCCTGATGTGACAGAGAGAGACCGGGAACCAGAAGCCAAAACAAATATTATCCCGGGGAAGGAAATTTAAACACATATCCACACATAGAGGGGGGGAAAACCCTCCAACTTTGTATAAAGTTCAGCACATTCCTGAATTCCGGAGTTTGGCTGGCATATTTGGAAACCCAGCTAAGAACAGGCTAAGAACAGACAATGCAGGATCTGAAGGGAGCGCCTGTAACAGGCTTTAGAAGTGAAATGGCACGCATAAACACACACACACACACACACACACACACAGAGGCTAGTTAAAGACAAGGGTGGCAGAGCTGTTTTCACCCTTTGCCAAAAGAAACCAGGCAGTTGGACGGGGAAAACACATGCAACAGTTTTAGAACTGCCTTACTTTGAACTACAGTTACATCCTTGAAGGGGATCAGCTTTATAGAACCACCAATTCAGATAGTCAGAAATTTAAGAAGTGGCTGGCTGCAGGCATGCTCCCTTACAGATAGAGCCAAGTTCCCTAAGTCCTCTGCGACTGAAACACACAAACACACAACACACTTTGAACCTCCCCCCCAACTTTCTAGTCCTTAAGATTGGTTCTGAAGACATGACTGCACAAAATTCCCGTTGTTCTACATTCTGCATCTTTCCCAAATCATTTCAGCTCTTCTGCATGGTGGCAAGAGCGGCAATTTTGGCAAAAAACATACTCTCCAATATAGACTTTATATTTAAAATATACCTTAATTTAAGAATATCTTCTGAAGCGTTTTAAAGTCTTTGGAAAGTAGTAACAAAAGCTAAACGTTTTTTAGAAGAGAGATGCCTGTATTAATGCACATGTGTACATATTTATACATAAATACACAGAGACACGTAAACAAAAGAGCAACATTTAAAGTACCAGTCCAATTCAATGCAATAAACACATTAATAATCATATCAGATACAGTATAGATCAGCCTTAAAAGCACATTCTGGTTTAAAACCTGTTTTGGCAAGCACGGACACATTCTGTTGGTCAGCATAAAACATAATTCATGCTTTTTTAGCATTTCATATGCATTTTAAAAAACATAATAATTGGTGAGTAATGAAGAGAAGGGGAAAAAAGAGCGAAATGGTTACCAGTTCTCAATTTATGAAGAATGTAAACTTCTTCATAACTAAAAATCTACAACAGCAAGAAGGGCAGCACCAGAACATTTCCTTCTAATACACCGGCTCTTTTTTCAGTTTTTTTTTAAAGATTGCTTTTATCCAGGTTTTTATGACAGCTTTCTTACTGTCTCACTATTAGCTGCCTGAATTGTTACTTTTAGTAGAAAGATGGGCTAAGAAATCTGATACACATGGGTTATGGCAACAGCAGTTACTATATAATACAGTGTTCCCTGCACGTTTGGAACCACCTTTCCTCATTACCCAATATAATCCTTGAATTGAACAGTACAGAAATAAAGTCCTAATCCCAAAATTTCTGCCATCTGCATCTTAACTTTGACCAAGAACCTCATTTTCTCCTGTTGGAGAATGGGTGAAGAGACCCAGGGATAAATGTTTCCTTTGTTATAAAAGAGTGACATGATAGGGATTAAGGGGGGGTGGGGGTCTTGAATCGGCCTTGATTCCAGGACATCCCTCCCCATTGTTTTTAAAAAAATGAGCAATTGGCTCAAATCAGGGTTGAGAAACATGGCAGCTATACAGTCCCTGCATTCCGATGGACTGATGGAGTGTTGGAGACAGAAAAAGGGTGAGATTAGGGAAAGGAAAAGACTAGAAAGATGAATGGTTCAAGTGAAGAAGAACGATTGCCCTCAAGATTAGTTATGTTTTTCTTTAAAAAAAAAAAAAAGGGAAGATAGATCTGTGTTGGTGTGTGGAACACAGGGGTGAAAGAGGTTAGTCAACACATAGCGATAGATCTCAGAGTCAAGGACTTTTTATCTCTATGAGCATCAGGTTCAAAGCTTACATTTCAGAGTGGACAAAACAAGAAACGGGGAAAGAGATCAAAGGGTGAGCAAGAGGCAGCAATGACTCTCTGCAGCCCCTTCCACCACATCCCTTCCCCATCTTAGCATCTTTCTTGATCTTCACTTAATTATAGCATTTTTCAGAGAAGAGTGTTGGGGAGCGTCCTCGTTTGTTCATGCTTAAGTTGGCTTCTTTCAAGAAGTTCTTGCAATGAAAAGGGGAACATTAACCCACCGGTCATCTGAACTGGGATACTTGATCTCCATCCTTCCTATTTTATTACATGTCTAAATTGTAACTTCGTTTTCCTATTGTAGCCCTATAAAGATGCTTATTTTTTGATGGCTTTTTAAAGACTTTTGAGACTACGTGATAGAGTGCTCTTGCAGAAAGGGGGTTTTCTTGCATTCCATCATGCAATTGGGAGAAGGGAAACTTGAGATTCTAAGAGACTACGGTTAGCCTAATGCAGGGGTAGGAATATATTGCCTTCGGATACCGCCTATGGCACCTTGGAGGCTCCCTGCTCCACCTAACTTTAGTTTCCTTTCATTTTAAACAATGGAAACAGCATGCTGTAGAGCAAACTGTTCTGCTTTTAACATCGCCTTTCTTTATAACAGTGGCTGTGGAATTCTGGGAGTTGAAGTCCTCACATCTTAAAGTTCCCAAGGTTGAGAAACACTGCTTTATAAGAAGGCCTTGGGGCCCAAATGTCTCCGTGGAGAATAAAAAGTTGAAACCCCAGTCGGTTATTTTGAAATGCACCACCTGCTCAAAGAAAAAGAAAGAAAACTGAAGCAGGATAGAACATCTTGGAAGGGTTAGTAAGGAAAAAACGAACATGATTTCTCTTTGGGAAAAATGTCTTATGATTGCCCCAGTCCAGCATGGTACCCATTTGGTGAGCAAGAAAACCCCCTTTCTGCAAGAGCATCCTATCATGTAGTCTCAAAGGTCTTTTTAAAAAGCCATCAAAAAATAAGCACGTAGGCAAGGCAGACTTTAGCACACCACCACCACCTAACTTCAAATCCCAGTGAACAGCACCTGTGCAGTAAGGGATGCTGGGAACTGTAGCTCAGAGACCCCTAAACTAAGCCTCAGGTTATCCCCCGCCCCATAACGGTCTCATATAACCATAGTGCGACGGTCCTTAATTCAGCCTCCAGGAATTAACCTGGGGCTCAAGAAACAGAATAGTGAATTTAGGTTAAATGCATCAGCTATTTTCTTGGAGTACTGTATTATTTTAATTAGGCTAAAGAAATAATTAGGAGTTTTCTCTTCCAAGCATGATAGTAACAGCATATCATATGTGGAGATGGCTGGTGGGGTGATGGGTTTGGTCCCCCCCCCCCAGCATCTTGAAGGTTTTAGGGCTAAAATTTACAGGGGGGGTTTAGGACATTTTTAAT